AAACCTAAACTACCTTACTAACTACTAACGAATACAACTACAGAGTACGTGTAACGTACTCTCTCTCTACTCTCTCCCCACCTCTCTCTCTTCTCTCTCACTCTCTCTCTCTCTCTCTCTCTTCTCTCTCTCTCAAACAACACTAATAGAACTAGACAGAAAGACTCCCTCTCTCTCACATACGCAACCCAACATCCCTCTCTCTCTCTCTCTCTCTCTCTCAACAACCCAACACTAATTGAACTAGAGCTCTCTTTCAAGCCAACGCTAATTGAACTAGAGAGAAGCGTCTCTCTCTCTCCTAATAGAACCAGGGAACAAGCTCGCTGTCGCTGTCTCTCTAAACCCAACAGTAATTGAACCAGAGAGCAAGCAAATACCTTGAGGCGATCAGAGGGGCCGGTGCCCTGAAACCGACGCTGAAGTTCAAGCACCATGCGAGGATCCATCTCTACCGCAACAACATTCTTGCACACGTCCAAAAGTTTCTTTGTCAAATTTCCAGTCCCAGGCCCCACCTCCAAAACCACATCGGTGTTCTTGATCCCCGCCTTCTCAACAATCCTATCAACTATCAATGGGTTCTTCAATATGTGCTGTCCCTTTGATTTGTGGAATTGAATTCCAGTACCTGCATGGTATTTCTCAGCCATTGAAGGCCTCTTCTTCTGCATCTTTCCACCTGCCATTCTAGTTTGAAGGGGCGCAGAGCTGGTTCTAGTTTGAAGGGGTGCAGAGCTGGTTATGGAGTCTAGGGTAAACTGTGGACCTGTCCTGTTTCAAAACCCCAATTTTAGTTTTGGACCTATTCTGGTTCAAAAACCTAAAATTTTTTGTTAAGAAAATTAAGGAAAAAGGGGGACAGAGAAAATTGTGGAAAAATAAGAAAAAAATCGAATAAATAAAAATTTCCAATAAACGAAAATTTCAGTCAATGATTCATGTTGCGCTTCAATATGTTTAAATTTTTTAATCTCTTTCATGGTGGTTTTTTCACTATTTTGAAAAATCAGCATATGAATTTCAAAGTGATAAATGGTGAGCTCAAAATGAAAATATTCCTAATATCCAATTATCCCTAAATAAAAATAACCCTAATAATATGAACTTCATAGTTCATTCAATCATTCACAGCAAAACAGAGCATAAAACAGAAATGCCTTGCTCATAAAAACCCACAAAAAAAAGCATGTAAAAACCCACAGAAAGAGGATATTTTTCATGTGAAAAAAACTATGAAAAAGCAACCCCACATATTGGATATTGGAATGAGAATCAATGATCAATAATCAAAAGATCCAAGGTTCATTACAAAACTTCTTGCAAAAACCCAAAAAAAATCCGAGGTTTTCCTTTTTTTCAAAACAACTAACCAGACAACTAAACAAAAAGATTGAATACACTTACTTGAGGCTCAAAACAAGGGAGGATTGATGGCCGGATTCGCCGTAGAAATTCGCCAGGAAAAAGTCCCAAGAACTGTCGACTTTTGGTTGAGAGATAGCAAAAAACCCGCGAAGCGAGTTCCGTCTCTCATGCTTTCACTTCAATAAAACCCTACTCTTCTCTTTACTAAGTACCCCTAAGGATTTATAATGACCAAGTGAATATACGAGCGATCCGGTTTCTATGCGGCCAAGCCCGCATATATAGAAATGCGCGTTTATTAATAATCTATTTTTGAGATGGATTTTTGGACTTAATTTTTAAAGACACTTAAACTATGGAGATCATGAATATGAATAAATAAATAAATTTTAAAAAATTAAAAATAATAATTCTAAAAAGAAAACATTTGGACCATTTATTTCCATTATTTTTCCAGATGGAACACTTACTTGTATCCATATTAATAAGATGGATGCTTTGCACTTTTTTTGAAGCGCATATGTAGTCATGCGTTCCAGCCCGTATGAAATAGTTTTTCATAGATGAGGCACAGAAGTATTGTCTTAAAAAGGGCATCACAAGAACTAACGGACCATCTGGTCCACTATGGCGGACCCGGCGACAGGGCCGGATAGGCAACCAGCTCACATCTTTTCGGTTCCGGTTCATATGGGGAGGTCCAGTTTGGTCGGTTTTTACAACATTTCTTTATGAAATCTAATTATAAGATTGAACTCTAGTACTAAAACAAGTAAACATCTCACATTGGCGAACATAACATATATTATTAATTGAGGTAAATCTTCTAGAAGAGAGTGTTCTGCCACTTGAAAATCTACCAATTGATCTCCTTGATCTCAATGTATTGAACTAGAAGAAAAAAATAAATAAAAATATAAAAATATAAAAAATAAAATAAAGTTATATATATTGTATTATAATAAAAAAAATAAAAAAATAAAATAAAATAATATATATTGTATTATAATAAGTTTATTGGACCATCTATTTTCAAAAAATTTTAAATATTTATAGATCTGCTCAATCTATATTAATTTTAAAATTTTAAATTTTTACATCTAAAGATGAAAATAGATTTTCAAGCCATCGTAATATTTTTGATACCACACCAATATCTCAAGGTAAAATTTTAAAGATGCCTCGCTTTTAAAGTATAAAGAGGGCGCCTTATGTAAACCTAACCCTTCCACAATTCATACATTAATTTACAGTCTATTTTTTTCTATACCCTATAGATCCCACACTATCTTAAGAGAAGCATTACTTTTTTATCTTGTCTTAAAAGATATGCAATATCTACGACTTTTACAAATAACTTCACCCTATTTATATTTTTAACCATCTCTTTATAGTAATTTTATTCTATTTATAATATTTTTTATTCAAAACTTGAAGTTGCAAATCGAGGCTTTTTTATTTAGGGCTCAAGATTCCATTTTAAAAATTAAAGTTCATCATCATCACCATCCAAGCTTTACCCCAATTATTTAACGGCTACATGAATCATTTTCTTCCACTTTTCTCTATCAAAAGCCATATTATTAGTAAGACTAAAAGTTGCCTAACATGTTCAAGATTTATGATTACGTATGGTAAAATTTTACATTGATTGCCTACCTAGCACAATCTATCTCTTGACCCAGCTTGGTACAGGTTAAAAGAAAATTTAGGTCTTCTTTTATAATACTTTTTTAACTACTACTTTTTTTGTTGCTAGGTGGTTAATTCCAAACCAGCCATTCACTTTAAAAACATACAAAGGGAAGAAACAATTCGAAATTTCAACTTCGGAACCAACCTTTTTATAACCCACCTAGAAGATGTACAACAGTATACTTGATCTTTTGAATCATAAACATACAAAATTCAAAATATTTTTGTTTAATGTAGTTCCAAGGCAAACCCCAGTACTTTAGATAAACAGGAACGAGTTTATTACGCTTGTGTGGTTCAATCCTAAAATTGGTCATTTCCTTATTTCATTGCACATTTTCCTCATCTTATTAATGACAAAAAGGGTGATTTATAAATTAAAAATAAAAAAACAAACTCTTTGAATTACTGATTCTCAAGTTCAGAATACTGCGTCTTGTGCTATATTTTATTCTCTGCAATGCTCATACTTCCCGTCCAAGAATATATTATTGATGTCATAAAAATACCAATTGGACAGTAAAAAACACTTTCCTACAGATTTTAAATTTTTAAAATTTTGAGTTTTTTTTTTTTAATATTCTTGATCACCTCAGCTTAGATCATGAATCACTAAAAATTTGAATAAAACATTCACCTTTCAGGCGAATTTTAGAGAGGGGAGGCATGTGTCCCCATGCCAACCCCAAATTGTTGGGAAAGGGCTCCAATGATAACAAGGCATGTGTACTTACAATTGGCTGACTCATAAAAACCTCATCCAATAATTTATTTCATATTTCAGGATGCATGAATCAAAGTAAAAATAAAGAAATATAACTGAGAAGCAATTTTATTTGAAAAATCAGGATCACCCCTTGAGAGATCTGAAGCTCACAGCATCTGCAAGCAGAATCGATGGAACAACAGTTACTGCTTCCCTGCTGAGCCGTTTGCTCGTATAACCAGACTCAAACTTTATGAGCCCATAACATTTGTTTTACAAAATGAAGTTTCTCACTACTCTAGAGTGTGGAAGAGAGTGCAAGAGAGTGGGATTTAAAGGGAGAGAGAGAGTTCTGCATTTAGTTCTGAAAATCAAATCTAGGTATAGCTCATTTTATGAAAAATCATAATCCTACTGAAGCCAAAATTTCATGACATTGATGGAAACACCAAAAGGCATGACCAAAGAGCCAAAGCCACATCTAGAGCTAGAGGCAAACGAATTCAGTGGAAAGTGGAAAGAGACGCTCATGATAGAGGATGCATGCCCCATTGAAACGTGCATTACCAAGAAGCCTTGTGAACAATGAATTACAAAGAAAATGGCTTCTCAGTTTCAACGACACCAAGTCCAACACACAAGAGAAGAGGGTATTCGCCCTGTTCTTCGAATGTACTCGGCTTGTTGAGCAGTTCGAGCAGCTTGTTGATTCTTCTTGGCTTCAGCTGCTGCTCTCTTCTCCTCAGCCTTGTGCCGAGCCGCTGCCAACTTGTTCATCAGCTTCTCATGCGCTCGACCCCTCATTCTCTCAACCTCAACCTACACAAAGTATAGATTTAAAAAAAAAAAAAAAATTAAAAGAAAGCATAATACAATGTGATGGAATAGGAAATCATAGTCCAATGGGTAGTTACGGTCCAATAAAATGATCGATGGTGATGGAGACAGTGGGGGACAAGGTTGGGTGATGCCATTTTCTGTTAGCCTGGTCTCTCTCCATGACCATCCATTATTTATTCGACAGAGATGACCCAACAGAATATGGCTTTTCATAATCCATCGAACAACCGTCAACATCCAGTTTTTAAATCAATTATTCTTTTCTGTTCTGCAAATGGGAAAAACCATTAAACTCAACACTAGTGGTGAGCTGCATCAATGTACTTAACTTTCGAACAAAAAGAACCCTCTCCTACTGGGAACAACTTGCGCGAAGGGTAGATCTTGTCATTTACCCAAGGAAATAAAAAAACAAGCAGGGCACTTACATTGCGCTCATGTGGAAGCAAATTGTATGTTTGCTCCCTCCAGCAAAAGACCCACTAAGACGAATTTGTTATGCCGATTCAACTTAGAATCATTGGATGAGTAATTTAAAAAACAAATCCTAGCTAGCGTTTTTTCAATTAAATTATTTCTTTTATTGTTTTTCAGCTAATGGCTAGGTTGAGTTGGTTACAACCCCAAATCCTAGCTGGCGGTTTACCTACAGGAGCAAATGTACATTTTGCTCCAGCAAGAGCATAAAATCTCCTCAGAAATAATAAATATCAGTCGGTGTAAAGAGAAGATAACAGTCATTACATATCAAGTTTTCTTCTTTCTGAAGTCACATTCAGATTCCTCTAGATGGCATGAACAATTAAACAGAGGTGAGATGCGGATGGGTACTGGCAAAGTTCACCTAGGACTCTTCAGTCTCAATCTTTCCTAGTTCCTTCTCCAATAAAATTTCTTGATTGTTTATTAAAGAACAAAACTCAGTCGCATAAAACTGAACCCACTTAGAATTATTTTTCTTTTATTCATCTAATTTGTAAAATAAAAACAGCAAAAATGCTACTCAAGGAGATGAGGTAAACCTCAGTGAATATATCATGTACTTTCTGATCCCTCCCAAGTAATACATCTTGAGAAATGGCACAGGACATAAATGGGAACAATTCCGGAACCAATGCAAAGGAAAGGTTTAATCTTAATTTTAGGATGCAAGAAATACTGAAAAAGCCTAATGAGATAAGAAGCAAGATTTTTGTGAGGGTAAATTTTCAAAAAGATCAGACAAGTATGCTTAGATATTTAGGGGGTGATTGTATTGACCATGTAGGTGTATTACTGTCTAGCATTAAATGTGACTGAAAGCAAACAAAGTACTTTTTATTGTGAGGTTAAACAGATCCAGTAGATTGTTTGCGGTGTTTATCAAATATGTCGGGTTCAAAAATAGACACAGACAAACATATTAGGGATCAGTATCAGACATAGAATTAAATGCATGTAAAGGTCTACCTAAAGATGCCCTTATGTATTGCAAACAAATTCTATTCATCGTGGGGTCTGAATTCATTGCAAGGATATGGGGCTCATCCTTCACATGGAAATATATTTCACAATACTGTTCGCAACTCTATGATAAATAAGCCTAAAATAAAAATAAAAAAAGCAAGCTAGAGTGTACTATAGCTTGCTATCCAGATCAAGTGAACACAACTCAGCACATTAGCAAGAGTGTACATATGAAACATACCAACACATAATGAAATTAAACACAACCCATAAAAGTCAAAGAAACTCGCCGTGTTACCTCTATTCTCCGCATCTCAGCTTCGGTTTTAGCTTTCTGATGATTTTCCCAAGCCTGGATTTTTATTTCTTCACGTTTGTATCTGCAATTGCCCTCAATTAATCCTCACACTCCAACAAATGAAGAGCCAAAGGAGCCTAATGTAAATTTAAGGATGAGACTTCCAAAATGTGAAATTGACTTGTGTACGGTGGAGCGAAAGTGACAACTAAAACTAGGCCAACCATCACTAAAAAACTGATAAGTCAATACAGTGAGTGGATCAATTAATCTAACATGAAATTCAACCATGGGCAGAGACATAGCTTAAATATGACATGATATATAGATCTACGGAAGAAGAAAAGAACGATGCATAAGGAGAAAAGGTAATCAACCTGGCCATATACTTTGCTTTCTCAGCTTCCTCCCAAGCAGCTGCACGTGTCTCAATTACACTTCTTCCAGGACGTTCCACATCAAGAGTCTTAAGAGAGGTAGATGCATCCTTATCTTCCTCTTCCTTACTTGCCCAAGCAGCAATATTTGTTTTACCAAGTTGGGTTCCAAGTGCCACTATTTCTCTTCGTGTTTTCATTTGTAATTCCTTCTCAGTCATCTCATTTTTGCTAAGGTCTAGATTATAGTCCAAGACATTATCACCTGCATCTACAGGGGAAGATGTAGGGGCAGCTCTACCAGGAGTCGATGGTTGAGAAGAAAGAGGACTACGCATTGGTGATGTTGCTCTAACAGGAGTTCCAGTTCTAGAAGGCTCTTGGCTGGCAATAGGGGTCATTTCAGTGCCCATATCTCTCATGGACACAGACCTCACAGTTGAAGGTGGAGGAATACATGTTGTAGCACTATGTACTGAAGTTGAAGAATCATGTCGGCTAAGAGTAACTGCAAAATTAATGGTTCAAACAAATACAAAGATTCAAATCAGATCCCAACAGAAGTAACTACAAAAGTCATGACTAAAATGGGGAAAAAACAAGTTAAAAAACCTGGTTTTGTTTTCTTCATAAATCATTATTCAAGAGTCAAAGAGAATGTTATAAAAATTGCAATAATTAATCTTTTGATATATCAGACTTCCAGACATTCTTGAGTAGGTACTTCACTGTATTTGCATGCCAGTAAAGACTCAGGTAAGGCTCAAATTATGGTTTCAAAATGTTTTCAGCCTGATGGAGGAAGTACCAAAACCAAATCCAAGATTTAGACTGAAGTTTGGCGAAATTTCATTCTCATATTATTAACTTTTCTTTTACTGCGAACTGTTGCATTTTATTTTGGAAATCAAGAACATCAACGAATTACAATGAGCCAGATTCAGCTAAACACGTCGCCAAATATGGGTTCAATCTTTGGAACTTGTACAGAACGAGAAACCAGTTCCCAACGAAAGAGACATCCCAATTTAAGTCACCCTGGAAATAAAATCAGGTCTAAATATCAATTGATATTGGCTAAAATTGGGTAGTGTAGAGATTTTCCAAGCTTCCTTCCATACGGGATGCTACGAACAAATCAGGAGATTTCAGGATGGTTCTGCAAATAACTGGAACCGAAACCACATCACAAGTTTGAATCCTGCAGCTGAACTACCCAAAAAATAATGATCTATTAAACATAAACCCTATATATATATATATATATATATATATATTATTGGGTTGGGGGGGGTGGGACGAAAACGTAACCCAAAAAACTAACAAGAACTACCACGACGTAACGTAATAGTAGTAGGTAGTCTACTATAGTATTA